GACTGGCGTGCTTTGCTGAACTCGGCCAAAATCGCTTAGGCGGTTACAGCGCCAAAAAAGAAGAAGAAGAAATATTAAACCTCATTGCGTAAGTCGTAAATTAGGCTAAATTGTACGACTCGACAACATTGGCATTGTCTATTGTCGTACTGAAATAAGTAAACGACGAAAATCGTCGAAAACTATAAAGTGCTGCCAAGTATTTGCGTTTTAATACACTAGTCGAGTGGAAATTTTAGGCAATGACGTGAAATTTTCTATACGATTCGACTCTCGAAAAACTACTTGCATTCGACACGTCTCTCGCAATGAGGGTGAATATTTAGTTTACAATACGGGTATCAAACAACACAAAAATACTTTTAAGTCGCAGTGAAGCAAGCCGGGTATTCCCTAGTTCTGAATAAAAACTTTGAAAAAATATACGAAAATTTGTCGAATTTTTATAGTTTTCGTAGTGTTTGAAATGCGGATTTATATTTTTTTGTTTGTTGAATAACTAGCTAGACTTTTATAAAAAAAAACATTAAAAAACCAAATAAATATAGCCAAAACTGGTACAAATAGGGATAGTATATTATTTCTGCAACCAGTGTAGATGCATCACGAAAAAATATAGAAAAAAGGCTTTTTCTTAACAGCGATCGTCTCTCGGCAGGCAATGGCAAAACCACGTGTATTTCTGCCAGCTTTCTCACAGCTTCTCAAAAATCGCCGTGCGGATTCGGCGTAAAACTGTAGGTCCCTCCCATTTGTGTGACAACATCAAGGCGCATGCCACAAACCGAAGGAGAAGCTCGGCCAAACACTAACATATGTGTAAGCGCCAATCTATTATTATTATTAGTGTAGATGCATCAAAAATAAACTTTTTTAGCAGTTAAGGCTCGATATGTAATTATACAATTATATAAATAAATAAAAAAGTTCTGTTTTAAGGGGAGCGGGATCAAAATGAACTACCCAGCCGAAGCTAGAGCCGAGGGCTCAGAAAAAACCTTTGCTCCGATGCCCTGGAAAATATAGAACTCACATATTATATAAAACAACTCAGCCTATCTGAAAGTGTAAACAGAATTAAATCGCTCAGAGAAATTCGCCGGAAGAAAGCTCGCTGTTAGTATCCCTACAAGAACAGTGATCAAGAACATTTGATTGATCATGTGACACTCACTGGTGATGGAAATCTCAATCAAGTACTTCTATCAACTTTGTAAGAGCAAAACGTGATGTAAATATTTGTGTACATGTGATCTTCCGTCTTCCTCTGACTTATGGCCTTATTTAGTGGTCTCTTTTTAACCAAGGCAAAATTTGCAAATGTGTTAGTAAGCTAAATGAAAATGTGTTAGTTTCCATCACACAATTCTTGTAGGGTATATGAGTGCACACAACCAAAGCGGCGACGAAGCTCGACAATAGATTTATTTTTAATTTTACCGCTGCCGCCGGTCACAAAATTAGCTCTCAGTGGAAATGTAGCTTTGTTTCCCCATTTTTCTAGCAGATAATTATCAGCAAGAATCAGAATGGCAAAATTTGGTCATTCATCTTTTCGCTTTTATATATTTTATTTGTAATTTAATTGATGCGAATTTCGTTTTTGTTTTACTGGGCGAAATGTTGAGGCGAAAATCACCGAACGGCATTACTCCGACCTACGAAATTGACACAGCGATTTGGTTCGGGCTTTGCAGACTATTCAAGCGTCGTCTGACACAGTTACCTCATTCGTTAGTACTTTAATAAGCATAACCCATCAGCTTATGCTCGAATTGGTACCAAAACAAAAATTCAACAAGGGTATTGACAAAACAGCACATTATTGTATTTCTATAACCAATAAAGCTGTCATAGTCTAAAAAATTTTAGGCTAATTTTTTAAAATATTTTTACATGCAATTACATGTCGCTCGTTTGTTGGAAGAACGTCACAATCCGAATAAAAAAAACTGAGTTAAGCTTGCTGAAAGGGTGGTTAGCTGTTGTTTTATGTGTTAAGAAATTTCATGTTATCTGTCAATTTTGTCTCATAATGAAATTTGTCAAAACAATCACTTTTCGACAATTTTAGGTATTTTAAAGCCTTTTTCTCGCATTTTGGAATTTCCCTATCAAGACGATCTTTCGGCAAACGTGCGATGTATGTACACGCATACAGAATAAAAAAAAAAACATCTTTACAAAAAATACTAATGTCTAATTTCTTATTACGAAAATTACGATACGTTATTTTTATGCAAGTAACGGGCTCCGAACTTTTGTTTTTAAAAAACTGTTTGACTGCTTAATGGTACGACCTCAGAAGACGTATCTCCCTTCGTGGGCATATGGAAATCTCTTGTGCCAACATTACAATCAATTGGAGGCTTCGGTTTTCTACACATTGAAAAATTACCGCTCTGTTTGGAGACAACAGGAAAAAGGTTTTCTGCTGTTTGTGTTCTGAAATAAATATTAAAATACCGCGGTGTCCGTATGTTAAACAATATTTTTTTAAATATATATTTCTTCTTACACTGTCTTTAACACAGCCAACCTAGGTATATTCTTAGTATATATCTTTGCTCCTGACGCCTCTAATGCAGCTAATTCCTCTGGATGAGATTTTTTTTTGTGAGTACGACAGTTAGCTCCATTAGCAAAGGTTTTATCACAAAAGTCACAAGAATATGGCTTTAGACCACTATGGAGTATTAAATGACTTTTCAGTGTTTTTGCTCGCTTAAATGCTCGGCCGCAATAATCGCACTTGTGACGCATAATATCTGAATGCACGAGCATATGTCGATTTAAAGTTACACGCGAATTCAGTTCGAGCCCACACTCACTACAAATGTGCTTATTGGAACTATGAATGTCCATATGTTTCTGTAAAACAACTACCAAGTTATTTTATAAAATTATAAAGTGGACAGGCTTACCTTTAAGCGATATTTATTTTTAAAGCCTTTCTTACATATTTCACAAACAAAAGGAGCGAGGTCAGTATGTATAAGCCTGTGCTCTTTTAGAGCAGCTTCCGTACGTTTAGCTTCGCCACATTCTTCACATATAAATGGACGAAAATCCTCGTGCACAAATTTTATGTGTGTGGCTACATATTCTTTTGTCGGAAATTTTTTATCACATTGCGGGCATGGAAATATTCGCTTCTCAGACAATGGTACATGTTTTTTTAAATGAACATTCAACCCAGATATCGTTCTGAAGGATCTCGGACATTGGGGGCAAGTCAAAGGTTCTAATGCCTTTCCATGTCTTTTCTTCATATGAATACGATAGTTACCAGGACGCTGAAAATGCAGTGAGCAGTCGCTACAAAAATATTTGTCATCACTTGACGCTCGCTTAGATGCATCAAGACATCCTTTGGACTTATTGCCGGGACTGTTTTTTTCGCTTTGTATTAATTTTAGTTTATTATCATCTGTAAGTAAACCTTCCTGTTCAGTGTTTTTCAGTCTTGTTTTGAGTTTCTTACGTTGTTCTTTTGACGATTTTATGTGGGAAATTTTATTATCTAGCGTATTAGTGGCTTCGCTGCATCGTTTTGCAGAAAATATCTTCCTTTCATCGTGATCAATGTCAATATCACTGGCAAATGGATCTTCGGCTTCAGCTTCTGCTTCCACATCCTCAAATGCACATGTAACTTCATCGACCTGGGCACAGTTATTAGGGTCTTCTTCTTTTATTTCTATTTCTAAGTTAGTTGCTGCTATTTCATTAACGCACTTTTCCTCGTATGGGCTTATGAACAACTCTGCCCCGTCTTTTCTCAAAATGTCATACTTCATTCTAACGGAATGGGAGTCTATATCTTTACCGTAGTAACCAGTTTGCAAGGCAGTATACATTTTTTGTACTTTGGCAACATGTTCTTCGAAATTTGTGAGAGTTGACAACAATGAAACACATCCTGTGCATAACGATTTTGGAAGGTCGTCATCGTATTTAATCTGCACAAAAAATATTACACAAAAATGTTATGCGATAAAGAATAAGCAATAAAGTTGAATAGCATACTTGCACGCAAAAATGTTTTCCGATCGTTTTGACCATTGTAGAGTCTTTAGCATCCGTTTTTTCTAGGGTAAGAGGTTCATAACAAAAAAATACGTTTTGGCTGTGAATATCCATTTTCGCACAAAGCCGGCACCAATAGTGCCAATCCTCAGGTGGCGATGTGGTGTTACAACTTCCTTCGTTTGCTGAAGTATTTAATGCTTGCATATTTTGTTTTACTTTAAAAGTATGCGCGAATTCATTGAAAATCTCAGCGTTTTATAAACCTAGCAATTCTGGTGTTATCTATTTTCTTGTTTGTCGTTAATTACTAGAGGTGTACAACTATCAATGGTACTATCGATAGTCTTAATTTTTCAACACTATCGATGGTTTTAAAAACAATCGATAGTTTCTTTACCGATGTCCCCAAATCGGCGTGTCAAACTTCAAGGAACTGTCATCCAATATTCGCGATTCCAAGAATGATAGAAAATAAGATTGCACCCTGAGCAATGGAAAATGTATTAAGATAATAAATTGAATAATATTCACTTAAATACATTTTTAAGATAAAGGCGATTTATTTGAAACAAGTTAAAAGAAACAATGGCAGAATATCTGTTTGTGTATACATTAATTTTTCAATAATACCAAACAATACTGCCATATTATTAGTGAAACAAAACACAGATCATAAATTGAACCAGTAGCTCGTTTCTGTAACAATTCTCGACCAAGGCGAATTGAGATATGATGTCGCCGCCTTGTTCTCTACTGCTAATGAGTAGTACAGAATGACGTATATTCTCTACCAGTACAGAAATAATCGGTAGAGAAAAGTTACAGCAACGAACTACAGACAAAGAACGTAGATAACAAGAAGGGACAACTGGTTATAATTGTGGCGAAAGTGCGCTACAGGGGCGTGCCTTCTCTTTTAATCCAATCAAAAAACGCACTAGGGCAAAAGAGAAGGCACGTCCCTGTTGCGCACTTTCGCCACAATTATAACGAGTTGTCCCTTCTTGTTATCTACGTTCTTTGCTACAGATATGTATCAGAATCATGTCGTTGTTGTTGCTTGTTGAATTTTCGTGCAAATTTTATGTTTACATCCCGATCAATGCCCAAGAAAACACAGCTAATTATGATACTATCGCGATAGAATCGATAGTATTTGCAGAAATAGCGAAGACCATCGATAGTTTCCCACTTCTATCAACTACCAATTACAATTTATAATCATAATGGTGAAAAACACTACCGATAATCTGATAATCTGAAACGCCATTATCAACAATGCTACGAATAGGCGTATCAAATTACTACGGCAGTCGGGTCTACGTTACCATAACGACCCAGATTTATATATGGCCAAGAACTGTCACTCCAGCATCATTCCCAAAAACTCCTTTGCGAATTTGTATGCTGTTATAACTACAATAACAATTACTAAAGTAAAAAGCTGTGTATTCCGTGGTTTGTGTTATTTGCGCAATAAATTGGCCAACAAATTTAATAATCGCACTGACGGTATCATTTAAAATTAATTAAATGTCTTAATATTCGCAATTTGAATCCGCTACACGACATATTTACTAAAAAAAAAGCACTGTGTCAGATTTGCAGGTTTGAAAGGATATGCTTTTTAATAAACCCTGAGGTCGCGTACAAAAATTGTTCTTGTTGGAAAATCTTGTAAAATCGGGCGCATGTGGGAACAGAACAGCTTCCATACGCATTTCTCCGCGGCGCAACAAAAAATGTTCAGATGGTTCTCGTGAGAATTGATTGTGATACTGAGCTGAATTACGGATCGGAACATGGCTTTTAAATTATACCTTTACTATCGATGATTTCACTCATTAAAGTCAGTGCTATGTAGACAAACATATATCCATCACTCAAAATATCAGAGAGTAAGAAATAATTCTCTCTCAAGTAGAAAAACGTGCAGGAATTTGCAAATTTCCCTGCCAGCTAGTGTCTAAAAGGTTGCATTTCATACATAATAAATTTTTATAAAATTTATAAAATTCTTTCAGATGGGCAAAAAACCTGTTCTACGTGTATATTTCTCGTTATTCAGATTTTCTATAACCTTTCTAAAACGAATCTGGGCTAAAATCGTAACAGTCGTGAACGAGCAACTCGTCACGTAAAAAAGCAGATTTCGGATTATAACAGTCGTGAACGTACTGCTAGTCTCCTTATACGATGTTTCCACGCTTCGTAATTCGCTATCTAAGTAATTCGTTAGTAGCCCGTCTCCACACGCAAAATTGTTTGCCTACCAACTCTCATTTTTCTTGCCTGAAATAAATTTTATCAGGAGCAATATTTGTGCGTGGGCATATTTTATCTTGATAAAAGCATTTGTAAGGTGGCTCTTTTTGCCGGATTTAATCACTCAAAAATTAAAAAAATAAGCTATTTCACTCCCAATTACATATTAAAAAATATTTTAATGGAAAACAGCTCAATGTTTGCTTTT